TTTACATTTACATTTAGTCATTTAGCAGACGTCTTTTATCCAAAGCGACTTACAAATGAGGACAAGGAAGCAATTTACACAACTAAGAGCAACAATGAATAAGTGCTGTAGGCAAGTTTCAGGTCTGTAAAGTCTAAGAAGGGAAGTATTAGTAGTATTAGTATTTTTTTATTTATTTATTTATTTTTTTGTACAGTTAGTGTGATATTCAAAGAGGCAATTGCAGATTAGGAAGCGAAGTGGAGACTTCACTTCCTTTGTAGGTTGCTTTGGATAATTTGTAGGTTGCTTTGGATAAAAGTGTCTGCTAAATGACTAAATATAAATGTAAAACTTTTTCTGAGGTGGAACTTGATGAAAAACGTTTGAGAACCACTGGCTTAGCCTATTGGCAGATTATTGTGCTTGTTTCAGGGAAAAACCTGCTTAATTCTTGCTTAAAACAAGACTATCTTTAACTTGAAAATGCTTCTTGATTTAAGAATTTGTAGATATTTGGACTAGAAACAATACAATAACTTCAAGTAAGATTTTTTATTTTTTTTTGCAGTGTAATACTGGCAGATTAGGATATTTTAACTGCCTCTTTGATAGAAAGGAATACACATTTTCAAATAAAAATCAAACCTACAACCGATTAAATGATATAGCTTTGGTGATGTTTTTTGAAAGCAATAGCTTCTGGTCACCAAGGCTGCATTCATTTATTGAGGAATATGGTAAAAATAGTTATATTGTGAAATAATTGTGCAACTAAAAATGTCTTTTATATGTAAATATATGTTAAAATGTTTTTTTTTAAATAAAAGATGAATTTTTAGCATCATACTGCAGTCTTCAGTGTTACGTGATCCTTCAGAAACCATTCTAATATGATGATTTGCTTAAAAGAACATTTTTAATGGTTGTTTTTAATGTTGAAAACAGTTGTGCTACTTCACATTTTTGTGGTGACATACATTTATTTTAAAGATTTTAATGTACAGAGAGTTTTAAAAAGAAACGTTTGAAAGTTTCCTTGTGACACATCAGTTTAATGCATCCTTACTAAATAGATATATTCACACATTCATATTTTAAAACTTTCTTTTCATAAATAACTATTTCTTAATTATTATTTTTTGCCTAATCGACAAAATGTACCAGAGTTTGATCTGTGTTTGATTTCCTGTCAGGGAACGGCTGGACAGGAAGTGACAGCGTATGAGGAGATGTCTGCTCTCGTCAACTACGTTCAGCCCAACAAATTCATCTCATTTGAGAACGCAGCCAGTGAGTTCAGCACACTGTTTATCCTCTTACAGCTGCGCATGTTAAAATCACATTAAAACATTGGAAGATTTTCATGCGGGGGGAAAAAGTCATGTGATCACCTGAAAGTGTTCCAAAAATCACACATTCCATGCACTTTAAATGTGTTCCGTGTGTGTTTCACATGCATTCTAAAAGCATTCCAAATGGAACATGTGATTTTTGAAAAGTTTACATGGGAGAATAAGTAGTCATGTGATCACATTTTGTGTTCCGGAATCCATAAAATCTGACTTTGGAACATTTTCACATAGGTAAACGTGGCCATGTGTTGCATGTTCCTACTTGTTCCAAATGTGTTCCATGTGTGTTTCATGCTGTATGCATTTCAAATGAAACATTTCACATTGGAACATTTTCACATGGGTAAAAAAACTGGTCAAGGGATCACATTTTGTTCACTTGAAAATGTTCCCAAATCACATTTTATAGGTTTCAAATATGTTTCAAATGTGTTCCAGATGTGTTCCGTGTGTGTTTAACATGCATTCTTGATGTGTTCCAAAGAAACGTGATTTTGGAACATTTTTAAAAAGTGGTCATGTGATCACCAGTTTTAATTTCAAAATGTTCCAAAATCACTTTTTAAGTGTTTCAAATGTGTTCTAAATGTGTTTGATGTGTGTACGGAATGGATTGCAAATTAAAAATGTAAGGATAAGTTTTAAATATGTTTCAAATGTGTTCCAAATGTGTTCCGTGTGTGTTTAACATGCATTCTGGATGTGTTCCAAATGAAACGGGATTTTGGCACATTTTTAAAAAGTGGTCATGTGATCACCAGTTTTAATTTCAAAATGTTCTAAAATCACTTTTTATGTGTTTCGAATGTGTTCCAAATGTGTTTGATGTGTGTTCGGAATGCATTGCAAATTAAAAATGTAAGTTTGGAACATTTTTACATGGAGGAAAAAAATAATTGCATGTTTAATCTATTACACATTTCAGATGTGTTCCAAATTAAACGTGTGGCTTTATCACAATGTCACAAAAGTGGTCACATGATTACATTTAATTTAAAAATGTTCCAAAATCATAGATTTGATGTGTTTCAAATATGCTTTCATTGTATTTCACATGCATGTCAAATGTGAGTTTCAGTTGTGATTTTAACATCTGATTGCCCATTTGAAGCCACATGGTTTTTCTATAAGGGTCGATATAATTAATACAACATTTCTGTTTAAAACCAGAGAAAAACAGGTGTTTTGTCATCTCTTCTTTTGTGGAGACGAAAGGAGAGAGTCTGATCGCGAAGAATGCCGTGGACTGGGTGGAGTATCCTTTACCACAAGATTATTATAGTGTTTTTGCCCATGTGTCTGTGAGTGTTTTCCTATACTGATGCTTTTAGGTATAATAAGAGGCAGCTGAGCCGTATTTACCCTAAAGGAACCCGAGTGGACTCTTCAAACTACAGTCCACAGCCCTTCTGGAGTGCTGGGTGCCAGTTTGTGGCCCTCAACTACCAGACTATGGGTGAGAATAACAAACAGGGCAGGTTTTTTTTTTTTTAAAGCCTGCCCAAGAACACTGTTACATTTGCATAGAATTTCCCTAACCGGGATCTGCGAGTTGATAAAATGCTAATGACGGATTAAATTGTAGAAATGTGTAATTAATGCATTAAAGACAATGCAAAACACTAAAAGCGAATAATAACAAAAAAATCAAATTAAATTTATCTACCAAAAAGAAGAACAATACATTATTTATTTATTTATTTATTTATTTATTTATTTATTTATTTATTTATTTATGTAATTTGTAAAATGTAATTTATTTGTTATATTTTTGCAAGCTTTGCTAATAATTTGAATTGAGTATTAACGTCATCTAACCTTTATCATCCAACTATAATTATGAATGTGTTGTTATATATTATTATACATTAAATATTAATAAAATTTATTTATATATATATTTATATATTTGTATAAATGTGTTTTTTATGTATATATATATATATATATATATATATATATATATATATATACATATATATACACACACACACAGACACACACACACACATTTATTTATTTATTGTAACTTTTTTAAATTATTTTAATTGCGTATATACATCATCTGAACTTCATCAGACAACAATAATTGTGAAATTAAATTGATTTAAATAATTTCATCATAATTAGCATATAAATTAGTTATTAATTAATTCAATTATTTATATAATAATGACAATTTTCCTTTCATCATTTGTCAACTTGGATTTTTGTGATTTTTACCTTTTTTCACTCGCTGGTGTAGAAGGTGTTTAAGTCCTTTGTAGAATCAGAAAGTTGATGACTGAGTAAAGCATAAAAATGTCAAGTGTCAAAAATGCATTAAAGACAACATAAAATGAATAATAAAATAAACCTTCACATTTCATCGGAATAAAAAAAGTAAAAATAAATAAATAAATAAATAAATGGATGGATGGATGGATGGATGGATGGATGGATGGATGGATGGATGGATGAATGAATGAATGAATGAATGAATGAATGAATGAATGAATGAATGAATGAATGAATGAATGAATAAATAAATAAATAAATATTAGCCTCCCTTTACTTTTTTTTTCTTTTTCAAGTATTTCCCAAATTATGTTTAACAGAGCAAGGAAATTTTCACAGTATGTCTGATAATGTTTTTTCTTCTGGAGAAAGCCTTATTTGTTTTATTTTGTCTAGAACAAAAGCCGTTTTTAATTGTTTTAAAACAATTTTAAGGTCAATATTATTAGCCCCTTTAAGCAATTTTTTTCGATAGTCTACAGAACAAACCATCATTATACAATAACTTGCCTAATTACCCTAACCTGCCTAGTTAACCTAATTAACCTAGTGAAGCCTTTAAATGTCACTTTAAGCTGTATAGAAGTGTCTTGAAAATTATCCAGTCAAATATTATTTACTGTCAACATGGCAAAGATAAAATTAATCAGTTATTAGAGATAAGTTAATAAAAATATTATGATAAGAAATGTGCTGAAAAAAAGCTAAAATGCTCTCCGTTAAACAGAAATTGGGGAAAAAAAATAAACGGGGGCGAATAATTCAGGAGGACAAATAAATCTGACTTCAACTGTATATATATATATATATATATATATATATATATATATATATGTATAAATGTATATATGTATATATGTGTGTGTGTGCGTGCGTGCGTGTGTGCGTGCGTGCGTGCGTGCGTGCGTGCGTGTGTGCGTGCTTGTATTTTTATTTGGGAGATTTTTTTTTAAATATAATTTTCTGTTTTGTTTTTATGTTCATAAATTTTTGATTCAAATATGCACAGCAGCGTGAAAACAATCAAAACTGAACTTCTGGATTGAAAGTGAGCTCTTTTATGTCTCGTTTTGAATGCTCTGGTGTGTTTTTGCTGTAGATTTCCCCATGCAGCTGAACATGGCTCTATTCGAGTTCAATGGGAGAACCGGTTACCTCCTCAAACATGACGTTATGCGGCGCAGTGACAAAAAGTTTGATCCGTTCTGTGACAGGATTGACACCATCATCGCCAGCACGCTCACTATTAAGGTCACTCACTCACACTGTGGACATTGGTGAAATGAGGATGATGAAATTATTTTGCATGAATGCATTTGGCTGACACATTTTATAAATGACATTGCATTTCATTCACTTGGAAATGTATCAAAAAATGTATTTAAAAAAATATTTAAAAAATTTTGTATTTTATTCAGTATTAATTTTTATTATTTAATTCTTCATGCATCATCCTCATATTTAATGATTTATTGCTATTATTAGTAATAGTATAACACTCTAATAGTCTTGTTTTTAGAATTAATATTATTATTATTATTATTATATTCGGGTTTTTGTTATATGTTGCAACAGTATATTATACCTTTAGATGCACATAATTAATTATTAGATGGTTTCCACAAATGATTTTTATAATTATAATGTTCTTATTTCTGCATTTTGGTGTTCAGATTTACTCAGGTCAGTTTCTGTCAGATAAGGCTGTGAAAACCGGAGTGGAAGTGGAGCTCATCGGTTTGCCCAAAGACCCCAAACGCAAATATCGCACGAAGATGAGCAGCACAGCTAACGGCATCAACCCGGACTGGAACGAGGAGCCGTTCATCTTCGAGAAGGTCAGCGGTGCATTCACTGTGATATGAGTAATTGATAAAGTACATCCAGGAGGTTGTTATCAGTCAGAAACAGCAGCGAGACAGACAGGCAGAGAAATATGGATGTGAACGTATTCAGTGACGGTCAAGATGATTCAAAGTTCACAGATTTAAATGCTTATTTATCTGTCATGTCACAACCATTTTTTGGTTTTGTGTGTGCATTCTTGTGCGTGTGTGTGTGTGTGTGTTTTTGTCTATCCCTGTGTGTGTGAACAGGTCTTGCTGCCAGAGATGGCCTATCTCAGACTGGTGGTCCAGGAAGAAGGAGGAAAGTTCATTGGTCACCGCATCATCCCTCTGGATGCTCTTCAAACCGGTGAGACTTAACACTGATGCGCATTTATTATTATTAACGGGAGTCGACTTTAAATGAGTCTGAAAAAAGCAATACTTCAAAATTCAATTTGTGTTTGATTTGATTATGACACTTTCCAGATTAAGGGAATCAAACAATCTCCTAATCAGATTATCGTCTTGATCTTATAATTATTGTAAAACTGCTGTATTACAGTTAAAGCAATATTTGTTTTCGATTGTCTACAGAGCAAGCCAGTGTTATACAATGACTTGCCTAATTACCCTGATTGCACAATCTGCAGGTTTCCAGCACATTGGTTTGCGCAGTGAGAGTAACATGCCGCTAATGCTGCCGTCTTTGTTTGTGCATATCGAGATGAAGGACTACGTCCCCGCTGCCTTCGCTGGTGCGACATTTCACTGCAAACACTCTAAACATCACAGACAAACACACACTGTTAAACTATGCTGCAAATTTGTTTATATAAACTAATAATTCTTTCTATATAGACCAAAAAATCTGTCTATATAAACCGATAAATCTATATAAAGGATAAATCTGTCTTTATAAACCAATAAATCAATCTTTATAAACTAATAAATCTATTTAATCTATAAACCAATTAAACTGTGTATATAAAACAATAAATTTGTCTATATAAACCAATAAGTCTGTGTATATAAACCGATAAATTTATCTATGTAAACTAAAAAATTTGTCTATATAAACCGATAAATATATCTGTATAAACCAATAAATCCATCTATCCTATAAATCGATAAATCTGTTTGTATAAACCAATAAATCTGTCTATATAAACTGGTCAATCTATATAAACTGATAAATCTGTCTATATAAACCGATAAATCTATCTATTTAAATCAATAAATCTATATGAACCAATTAATCTATCTATATAAACTGAGATTGTTTATACAAACCAATACATCTATCTAATCTATAAACCGATATATATATGTCCATATAAACCGATAAATCTGTCTAAACCGATAAATCTGTCTATATAAACTGATAAATCTGTCTATATAAATTGATAAATCCATCTATATAAACTGATACATTTATTTATATAAACTGATACATCTATCTAATATATAAACCGATAAATCTGTCTAAACTGATAAATGTGTCTATTTAAACCGATAAATCTATTTAAACAGATAAATCTGTCTATATAAACCTATAAATCTATATAAACTGATAAATCTGTCTATATAAACCTATGAATCTATATAAACCTATGAATCTATATAAACCAATAAATTTGTCTATATAAGCTGATAAATCTTTCTACCGATAAATCTGTCTATATAAACCGATAAATCTGTCTTTATAAACCTAATAATCTGTTTATATAAACCGATAAATCTGTCTATATAAACCTATAAAGCTATATAAACTGATAAAGCTGTCTATATAAACCTATAAATCTACAAAAACGATAAATTTGTCTATATAAACTCTGAAATCTATATAAACCAATAAATTTGTCTATATAGACCTATATAAACCAATAAATCTGTCTATATAAACCGATAAATCTGTTTATGTAAACCTATAAAGATATATAAACCAATAAATCTGTCTATATAATCCTATAAATCTATAAACCAATAAATGTGTCTATATAAACCTAAAAATCTATATAAACTGATAAATTTGTCTATATTAACCTATATAAACCAATAAATCTGTCTCTATAAAACGATAAATCTGTCTAAACCGATAAATCTGTCTATATTAACCGATAAATCTATATAAACTGATAAATTTGTCTGTATAAACCGATTTATCTATCTATAAAAACTGATAAATTTATTTATATAAATTGGTACATCTATCTAATCTATAAACTGATAAATCTGTCAATATAAACCTATAAATCTGTCAGCTTTTTATTTTTAATAAATCTACAACAATTTCAAAAACTTTTTTTTTCACATTCTCATTATGGGGGATTGTGTGTAGAATGTTGAGAAAATAAATTAATTTAATCCTTTTTGGAATAAGGCTGTACCATAAAAAATGTGGAAAAAGTGTAGCACGGATGCACTGTATATAAACCTTTAAATCAATATAAACCGATAAAAAAAAAAAAAAAATATATATATATATATATATATATATATATATATATATATATATATATATATATATAAACTGATAAATCTATTTTAGGCTATTTTACTACAAAAATGTAATTGTTCAAAAATACTAAACAAATTCTAACAGTGCGTTTTACTCATAAATCTACACTACAGTTCATTAATAATTCCAAATTGTCACTATTAAGTAACTCAAAGAATTAAACATAACATTTCATAAAACTAAAACAGTGTTTACTTGGAAACCCCATTAGCATTTGTTTTTACTGTGTACATTAACATGCTTTTATTGAGTGCAACATTAAATATTAATTCATATGCATGCTAATTAATGTTTTTTTTTTTTAGATTTCTCTGATGCTCTTTTCAATCCAGTGAAAACTTCAAAGCCACCGAAGACAGAGGTACAGAGAAATGCACAGCTGATAATAGCAGGCCTTTTCAAGTGCACTTTCAAAACATTAGTGCATTATTAAGTGCATGTAGTGTCCCCAGGTTGACCTGCTATGTACAAACATGTGCTTCTCTTAAATAAAAGCTCAAATGAAATGTGTAAAGACACATCATCAATAGCTTATTGCAATTCATCTATTTTTTTTTTCTATTTTTCATTTCAACCATATTTATTATAATTCAAATTAAAACCTGATTAAACATTTTTAATGCTTTATTTTAATCTGTGGGTTAAATGTACTTACTATAGTAATTACAAGAAATTATGACATTTATGAATTATGAAATGATGAATTAATAAAGAGATTTTGTTGGTTAGTTGTCAAGTTAATTAATGTACTAAATACACAATCTAAAACTTAAATAATCAGTTAAAAAACAAGGTAGACAACCTATTGAAAATGAAAAACTTTTGTGTTTGTCTTTATTGTATTTATAACTATAAATGTTGACATGAAAATAGATTCGACCAATTTTTTTGCAAAATGATTCATATTTTTAAGGTGTTCAAAACAGCACATGCAGGTCAAAACAATGTACATGCTACAAAACTCAAAATATGCAGTAAAATTGGATTAATCAAACACACTGCAAATGTTAAATAGAATTTATAATCTCTCAAATGCATTTAGCTTATCATAAACTATGATTAAATATAAAGTGTCTGCATAATAAGCAATTTATTAATTTGCTCTGCTACAAGATAATATTAGGCAAAATAACAAGATGCAACAAGATAATATTAAATAACACTATTCCTTTTGATTTTACAAATGTCTCAAATGTCTGAAACCTCTTTAATGATTTACCACTGGGTGGCGATCTGAATAAATCTGCACGATTAATTAGAATTTTATTACATTACAGAGTTTATTAAAATCATGTGAATTGTCTTTTGTTCGATACACACTCTGAACTACTAATTCAAAATAAAAGATTCAAGGTTTTGAAGCTTCATAAAGCAGTTCAAGCAGCTATGACAAGTCTCACATAGCTTTTCTTCTTGTTTCCAGAGTTTGACATACGTGTGTGAATATGAGTTACCTCTAGCTGATGGAGTTCAGAAGGCTGCCACTGCTGCACCTGCTGCAGGTAAGAGATCATAGTATTCTGTCAAATACCTGACAGGTCCATTTGAAAATCTGTCTATATAAACCCATACATCTATCTATATAAACTGATAAATCTATATAAACCAAAAAATGTATCTGCATAAATGGAAAAATCTATATAAATCGATAAATCTCTCTATATAAACTGATATAACGACGTTAACCAATAAATATATAAACCGATAAATTTATATGAACCGATTATCTATAAAAATTGATACATCGATATAAAAAATAAATATATAAACCGATAAATCTATATACACCAATAAATATATAAACAGATAAATGTATCTATATAAACTGATACATCTCTATAAACCAATGAATATTTAAACCGATAAATTGTTCAACCGATAAATCTATATAAACCAATAAATCTCTCTATATAAACTGATACGTCTATATAAACCAATAAATATATAAACCAATAAATCGATATAAACCGATACATCTCTCTATATAAACCAATACATCTACATAAACCAATAAATATATAAACCGATAAATATATATCAACCGATTATCTATATAAATTGATAAATCTATATAAAACAATAAATATATAAACTGATTAATCTATAAAAACCGATAAATATATAAACAGATAGATGTATCTATATAAACCAATACATCTATAAAAACCAATGAATATTTAAACTGATAAATTAAAACCGATAAATAAACCGATAAATCTATATAAACCGATAAATCTCTCTATATAAACCAATACATCTATATAAACCAATAAATATATAAACCTATAAATCTATATAAACCGATAAATCTCTCTATATAAACATTACATCTATATAAAACAATAAATATATAAACTGATTAATCTATAAAAACCGATAAATATATAAACATATAAATGTATCTATATAAACCAATACATCTATAAAAACCAATGAATATTTAAACCGATAAATTAAAACCGATAAATAAACCGATAAATCTATATAAACCGATAAATCTCTCTATATAAACATTACAACTATATAAACGAATAAATATATAAACCGATAAATCTATATGAACCGATTACTCCATCTATATAAATTGATATATCTATATAAACCATAAATATATAAACTGATAAATCTATATAACTGATAAATCTCTCTATATAAACCATTACATCTATATAAACCAATAAATATATAAACTGATAAATCTATATAAACCAATACATCTACATAAACCAATAAATACATAAACCAATAAATCTATATGAACTGATTACTCCATCTATATAAATTGATATATCTATATAAACCATAAATAAATAAACAGATAATATCTATCTATATAAACAGATGCATCTATATTAGCCTAATTAATATTTTAATCGATAAACCGATATAAACTGATAAATTTATCTATATAAATTGATACATCTATATAAACCAATAAATATATAAACCGATAAATCTAACTATATAAACCGATAAATCAAAATAAACGGATAAATCTATCTATCTATCTATATAAACTAATACATCTATGTAAACCAATAAATATATAAACTGATAAATCTATACAAAGTGATACATCAAAATAAAACGATAAATCTATCTATATAAACCAATAAATTTTTAAACCGATAAATCTATATAAACCAATAAATTTATCTATATAAATCGATAAATCTATATAAACTGATGAATATATAAACAGATAAATCTATCTATATAAACCGATACATATATATAAACCAATGAATGTTTAAACCGATAAATCTATATAAACCGATAAATACATAAACTGATAAGTTTATCTGTATAAAATAATTAATCTATATAAACTAATACATTTATCTATATAAGTCGATAAGTCTATCTATATAAACCAGTATATAAACCAGTATATAAACCAGTGTCTATATGAACCGATAAATCTATATAAACCAATAGATATATTCATAAAAACCTTAACCTATTCATAATCATTGTATATCTATCTGTAAAAAACAAAATACCCCAATAAATATGTTTGTTAAATCTAACAAATCTTGCTCTATGAAACATGATAAATTTCTCTACATAAACCGACAAAAAACGAATAAAACTATCCGTATAAATTGATAAATCTATCTATATTGACTGATATAAACTAATAAATCTATCTATATAATTCAGTTTGCCTATTTATATAAACAAATGAATCTGTCTATATAAATCAAAAATCTATCTTTATGAAATAACAAATGTATCTTTATCAACTAAAAATCTATCTATATAGACTGTTATGAATCGATAAATCCAGCTATAAGAACTCATAAACCTATCTGTAGAAACCATTACATTGTTGATTCGATTGTAGTTTTAAAAATACTTAAAATCAATAAAAGAAGTATTTAAAAGTGTTTAAATATGTTAAAAGTCAAAATAAAACCAAATGTTTAAATCATAAAATGCTTAAAATTGTTTAAAAATACTTTATCAAATATTCAAACCGTAAAGAAATTTTCCATTTAATAATTTTTCCAAATATAATGTAATTTTGTTTTATTTTTGTACATTTTTTGATGGATCGACATATGATTATTCTCCAAGAATATTTTTTATAACAAAAAATACAAATACTCTGCTTCGCTGTATTGATTTCTACAGAACTGTTGAATATATTTATAATATTTAAGGTAAGAATTTTATGAGTAACTGTAATAAATTTACCTATTTATTACATAGATTTCCGCAGTTTTTTAGCCCATTATTAAATCTGTTTATTTACTTGAGTAAATGTGTGTAAATCTATATTTATTCAGTTTTTAAAATTAATTACAGTAATATTATTGACTAATATAAAAATGTTCAATCTGATTTAAGTACAATACAGTGTGTACAGTAATATTTTCTGTCTTTTAGTAGAGATATTATATGAGAGACTTGCTTTGTTTACCAAATAAAGTGAATCTAATTGGATTTGCATTTTAAACATTAAGTAAAAGTTAGAAAGTGTTGTTTTTTATTTCATATATTAAGGTTTTAGTTATAATACTATTGTTCAAAAAGGTAATGATTCGCACTCATCAAGTAATCGCTTCGCACTGTTTTAATTTTTACATTCTTCGGGTGATACTAAAACACAAACTTATTTTGATACTCCCAAAATAATTCCTCAGAAATCCGCCAATTTTTACTAAAATTCTCAGCAGAAATAGCAAAAAATGTCCGCAGATTCCATCTGGCCCTACTAATTACACACTAAAATGGTGCTCAGTTATTAACAATGCTGCTTCATATTCTCAATGGTTGCATCTAATTCTGTCACTGCTGATTTGTTATATCTCTCTATGTAATCTGGATCATTTGTGTGTGTTTTTGTTTATGAATTCATCACATGCAAGAACCGAAAGAAGCTGAATCTGCAGAGACTCCAGCAGAGGGCGGCGCTGCTCCTCCGGCTGAGCAAAACACCACTGAAACAAAACCAGAGGAGAAACCAGAGCCTGAAGCAAAGCCAGAACCAGAGCCTGAAGCAAAACCAGAACCAGAGTCTGAAGCAAAACCAGAGCCAGAACCTGAGCCAAAGCCAGAGGAGAAAACTGAACCAGAGCCAGATCCCAAACCAGAGGAAAAAGTAAAAGCAGAACCAACACCTGAAGAAACCCCTGAAGCTGTTGTTGATGCTGCTGTAACTGAGACTAAAGAATCCAGTGAGGAAACCCCTGCTGATCCGTCAGGTGCGTCACTTTATTCTTCCCACTTTTGAATTAATAGTTAACATTGGTGTGTTTCTGAATCGTACTATAGAAAAAGTCTTGAATTAACAATAAACATACAAATAATAAACAAATAACCCAATACTGTTGTCTTTAAGTGCAACAGTAGGGTACACTCACCAACCAGGTACACCTTACTAGTACCTGGTTGGGCCCACTTTGGCCTTCAAAACTGCCACTCACTGGCCACTTTATTAGGTACACCTTACTAGTACCTGGTTGGACCCACTTTGGCCTTCAAAACTGCCACTCACTGGCCACTTTATTAGGTACACCATACTAGTACCAGGTTGGACCCACTTTGGCCTTCAAAACTGCCACTCACTGGCCACTTTATTAGGTACACCTTACTAGTACCTGGTTGGACCCACTTTGGCCTTCAAAACTGCCACTCACTGGCCACTTTATTAGGTACACCATACTAGTACCAGGTTGGACCCACTTTGGCCTTCAAAACTGCCACTCACTGGCCACTTTATTAGGTACACCTTACTAGTACCTGGTTGGACCCACTTTGGCCTTCAAAACTGCCACTCACTGGCCACTTTATTAGGTACACCTTACTAGTACCTGGTTGGACCCACTTTGGCCTTCAAAACTGCCACTCACTGGCCACTTTATTAGGTACACCTTACTAGTACCTGGTTGGACCCACTTTGGCCTTCAAAACTGCCACTCACTGGCCACTTTATTAGGTACACCTTACTAGTACCTGGTTGGACCCACTTTGGCCTTCAAAACTGCCACTCACTGGCCACTTTATTAGGTACACCTTACTAGTACCAGGTTGGACCCACTTTGGCCTTCAAAACTGCCACTCACTGGCCACTTTATTAGGTACACCTTACTAGTACCTGGTTGGGCCCACTTTGGCCTTCAAAACTGCCACTCACTGGCCACTTTATTAGGTACACCTTACTAGTACCTGGTTGGACCCACTTTGGCCTTCAAAACTGCCACTCACTGGCCACTTTATTAGGTACACCTTACTAGTACCTGGTTGGACCCACTTTGGCCTTCAAAACTGCCACTCACTGGCCACTTTATTAGGTACACCTTACTAGTACCTGGTTGGACCCACTTTGGCCTTCAAAACTGCCACTCACTGGCCACTTTATTAGGTACACCTTACTAGTACCTGGTTGGACCCACTTTGGCCTTCAAAACTGCCACTCACTGGCCACTTTATTAGGTACACCTTACTAGTACCTGGTTGGACCCACTTTGGCCTTCAAAACTGCCACTCACTGGCCACTTTATTAGGTACACCATACTAGTACCAGGTTGGACCCACTTTGGCCTTCAAAACTGCCACTCACTGGCCACTTTATTAGGTACACCTTACTAGTACCTGGTTGGACCCACTTTGGCCTTCAAAACTGCCACTCACTGGCCACTTTATTAGGTACACCTTACTAGTACCTGGTTGGACCCACTTTGGCCTTCAAAACTGCCACTCACTGGCCACTTTATTAGGTACACCTTACTAGTACCAGGTTGGACCCACTTTAGCCTTCAAAACTGCCACTCACTGGCCACTTTATTAGGTACACCTTACTAGTACCTGGTTGGACCCACTTTGGCCTTCAAAACTGCCACTCACTGGCCACTTTATTAGGTACACCTTACTAGTACCTGGTTGGACCCACTTTGGCCTTCAAAACTGCCACTCACTGGCCACTTTATTAGGTACACCTTACTAGTACCTGGTTGGACCCACTTTGGCCTTCAAAACTGCCACTCACTGGCCACTTTATTAGGTACACCTTACTAGTACCTGGTTGGACCCACTTTGGCCTTCAAAACTGCCACTCACTGGCCACTTTATTAGGTACACCTTACTAGTACCAGGTTGGACCCACTTTAGCCTTCAAAACTGCCACTCACTGGCCACTTTATTAGGTACACCTTACTAGTACCTGGTTGGACCCACTTTGGCCTTCAAAACTGCCACTCACTGGCCACTTTATTAGGTACACCATACTAGTACCAGGTTGGACCCACTTTGGCCTTCAAAACTGCCACTCACTGGCCACTTTATTAGGTACACCTTACTAGTACCTGGTTGGACCCACTTTGGCCTTCAAAACTGCCACTCACTGGCCACTTTATTAGGTACACCTTACTAGTACCAGGTTGGACCCACTTTGGCCTTCAAAACTGCCACTCACTGGCCACTTTATTAGGTACACCTTACTAGTACCTGGTTGGACCCACTTTGGCCTTCAAAACTGCCACTCACTGGCCACTTTATTAGGTACACCTTACTAGTACCTGGTTGGACCCACTTTGGCCTTCAAAACTGCCACTCACTGGCCACTTTATTAGGTACACCTTACTAGTACCAGGTTGGACCCACTTTGGCCTTCAAAACTGCCACTCACTGGCCACTTTATTAGGAACACCTTACTAGTACCTGGTTGGACCCACTTTGGCCTTCAAAACTGCCACTCACTGGCCACTTTATTAGGTACACCTTACTAGTACCTGGTTGGACCCACTTTGGCCTTCAAAACTGCCACTCACTGGCCACTTTATTAGGTACACCTTACTAGTACCTGGTTGGACCCACTTTGGCCTTCAAAACTGCCACTCACTGGCCACTTTATTAGGTACACCTTACTAGTACCTGGTTGGACCCACTTTGGCCTTCAAAACTGCCACTCACTGGCCACTTTATTAGGTACACCTTACTAGTACCTGGTTGGACCCACTTTGGCCTTCAAAACTGCCACTCACTGGCCACTTTATTAGGTACACCTTACTAGTACCAGGTTGGACCCACTTTGGCCTTCAGAACTGACAAGGTTGGACATTTAGAGATGCTCTTCTGCAGATCTCGGTCGCAATGAGTGCTCATTTGAGTTACTGTTGCCTTTCTATCAGCTGGAACCAGTCTGGCCATTCTCCTCTGACCTCTGGCATCAACAAGGCATTTGCGCCCACAGAACTGCCGCTCACTGGATATTTCCTCTTTGTCGGACCATTCTCTGTAAACCCTAGAGATGGTTGTGCGTGAAAATCCCAGTAGATCAGCAGTTTCTGAAATACTCATAGCAGCCCATCTGGCAGCAACAACCATGCCACGTTCAAAGTCTCCTTTCTTCCCCATTCGAATGCTCGCTTTGAACAGCAGCAGATCGTCTTGATCATGTCTGCATGCTTGAATGCATTGAGTTGCTGCCATGTGATTGGCTGATTAGAAATCTGCAGTAACGAGCAGTTGTACCTAATAAAGTGGCCGGTGAGTGTATATTATAGTACAAAACATGTTATGTAGTTAAACATAAGTACACTACAGCATTTATTAGTTCATCAGATCTTTAATATAGCAGGGCTCAACAATAAGGACTGCCCGATGGCCCGGGGCCAGCGTGTGAGATGCCCGGGACAGTAGACAGGATAGTTACTGGCCCGATCGGGCCACTGCTTCCTTGTTACTAAAGTTTAATTTGCCTGTGACTATTTGTCAATTGCGTGCAAATAAAGTTTTAGAATTGAGAAACAGTTCGTTTTTTCAAGCCTTCAAATGCTACCTTCTCAGTTCTTTTTATCTGATTGGATGTTGTGAGCACGTTATTAGTTCAGTGAAGAGACAGCAACATGGCGATGACATCAAATGATGATGCTAAATGAAAACATTTGTTTCTAACATCTTGGAATGCAGACATATACGAGGGTACACCACGACTAAAAAAAAATAAGTGATCTTTTGTACAGTTTGCCATCAGTTTGGCAAGTCTTCAGCCATGTTTTGTTTCAAAACACGTTGAATTTTGCTCATTACTCATTTATTAAAAATTTTGAAATATTTAAATTCTATATATACAAACATTTTGGCACATTTTTTTTATTTGTGGCTAAGAAATTAACTTTTTTTGGTGGGGCCAGTGAAAATATTGGCAGGGCAAGTAAAAATCTGAACCACTGCTCCGATTGGGCCAGTAGAAAAAATCCTTAGCGTTGAACCCTGTATAGTATATATTACTAATATTAAATGTATTAATTATTTATTAATATATAATACTATAATAGTTACTCTGTAAAAAGTGGAAACTTAAACAAATTGCTTTGTCTTGTCACAATTAAACGAATTAAGTTTGACAAACTTAATTTATAACAGTTTTCAGTAATAAATTAAGTTAGTTATCGGAATGAACCGCCAACTTATCCAGCAAGTTTTTACGCAGCGGATGCCCTTCCAGCCGCAACCCATCTCTGGGAAACATCCACGCATACACACACACACACACACTACGGACAATTTAGCCTACCCAATTCACCTGTACCGCATGTCTTTGGACTGTGGGGGAAACCGGAGCACCCGGAGGAAACCCACGCGAACGCAGGGAGAACATGCAAACTCCACACAGAAACGCCAACTGAGCCAAGGATCGAACCAGCGACCTTCTTGCTGTGAGGCTAACGTGCTACGCACTGCGCCACTGCGTTGCCGGTTATAGTAAGTTATTTATGGCAAGTATAAGTATTGTTCACTGTCAATAATGAGCAGTACTTGTATTTGCCACAAAACATTAAAGTATTATTTTTATATTAACAATGGAAGGGAATTATTTGTACTGTAATAAAAGTACTTTTTACTATTATTATTATTATATTTACAATATTATATTGAATGACTGTACTGTATGTACTGTTCCATTCTAGTTTTCTAAAATAAATTACTTAAACCTAAAACTAAAACACCTAAAATAACTAACTTAATTTATTACTGAAAACTGTTATAAATTAAGTTTGTCCAACTTAATTTATTTAATTGTAACAAGTCGAAGTAATTTGTTTACATTTTCACTTTTTACAGGCGTAGCTCACCCAAAACTGAAGATTCTGTCAGCATTTACTTATCATAACTTGTCACAAACCTGTTTGACTTTCTTTCATCGGTTGAACATAAAAGTAGATATTTTGAAAAATGCTGAATAATCTGTAACCATTGACTTCTTGTTTGTTTTTTATATTATGGACGTCAATGGTTACAAGTTTCTTACAGTTATCACAATGGCATATTTTGTGTTCAACAGAAGAAAGAAACCACTTGAATTGTCCCCATGCAATGGGAAAAGGTACTGTTTGGTGATGGTTGACATGTGGCCAAAATGGGCTGAAGTTTTTCCAACCTCAAAACAAGATTCGGCTGCGGTAGCAAAAGCGTTACTGACTGAAATTGTGCCGAGATGGGGAATACCACGAAAAATAAGTTCAGATAATGGTACTTATTTTGTTAATGAAGCAATCAAACAAGTGGGCCAATATTTGGAAATTGATTTGATACACGTATTGTAGTTACCATCTGGCTTCAGGTGGAGCTGTGGAAAGAGAAAATGGCACCCTGAAAAACAAATTGGCAAAATGTTGTGAAGACACAGGGCTTACATGGGTTCAAGCTCTACCCATTGTCGTAGATATGGAGTAATTTCACTGTGGAAAGGTATTTTAGATCCTGTTTGAATGTATTCTAACTTAAATATTGCTCTTTGCTATTTAAATTGTCATAGAAGCAGATGTAGAATACAAACATAGACGCTTCATTAGTCCTAGTTGATTATATAAATACCACTGCTGTGTTTAAAAGAAGGTCAACTCACTGTGGTTAGCAGCATTAAAGGGCACCTATCATGCAAAAATCACTTTTATAAGGGGTTTAAACACAGTTGTGTGTCAGCAGGGTGTGAATATCTCCAGCCTCTAATAGTAAACATGAATTAATTCTAATTTCTATAGTCAGACTTGAAAGTCTGCAGAAACACTTTGATTGACATTCTCCCTGTGTACATGTCATCAGAGGGGGAAAGCCCCGCCTACTAGTGCCCATCTCTCCCTCATTAGCATAAACAGCAGCCCTGAGTGAGAAGCAGCCGTCTGTCCATTAGCCATTAGAGTGTTCGAGCTGCTGAAGATAATGTCAGCATAGACTAAGAGGATTATAGATGTGGAGTTTTAGATGAACAGCGACAGGAGCAACATAGACTGACAGAAGCATGAAGCACACACTCACACTGACAACATGCACACCCTAGTCACACACTAGTCCAGTTTTGAATCTGCCACAATGCTGACACGTTGTAGCTCCGCCCTCTTTTAAAAAGAGCACAATCTCATTTGCATTTAAAGCGACAGTCATCAAAACAGCACAATTAGGATCAAAGCCTAAAAGGGTCTGTTTCAGAGAGTTAGAGAACATTATCTGTGTGATATTTTGAACTAAAACTTCACACACACACACACACACACACACTAGGGACATTAGAGACTTATTTTACATCTTGTAAACACAGGGATTTCAGGTCCCCTTTAAACTGTTATCGTTTACTGAATGATCACATGCAGACTGACTGTGTTGTGTGTTTCAGACCCCATCACTGTGAGCTGTGAAGAGCTGCAGCAGCACAAGAACTTCCTGAAGGTCACCAAGAAGCAGGAGAAAGACCTGAAAGACATGGAGAAGAAGTTCCAGAAGAGACGAGAAGACCTCATTCAGAAATACAGCGACCAGTTCAAAGCCCTCAAGAAGAAGAACAGCACCAAGAAGTAAACAAGACACACTCTCATTTAAGTATTTATATTTGCGGCCGCTGTATTTTTTGAAGATAGATGTTTATTTTATGATAGACATTATATTTAATTATTTCTCTGACAGAACTTTACAATACAGCTCTATTAATTGACTTAATAATATAGATCAGGGGTCTCAAACTCAAATTGGAAAAGAGCCAATTCAATTGAATTCATCTTTATTTCTCTAGCGCTTTTAACACCTGTGAATCGATTCAGTTGTTCTGAAACAGAGATTACAATTGTTACATTGTTGCTCTTTGTTCTTGGTGCGGTTCGCTTTCACACTGCAAAGTTTCTAATCGGACCAAAAGAGCTAAAACAAGTCACGTGCGAGTAAACTCTCCTTACATTGGTCAGAGTGTCAGGGTTTATTTTGCAGCGTCCCGCTCAGCTGTCAGGAGAGGTGGTGGTTTGGTGGTGATTGACAAGGTGTGAGTGCGCGTGACGTGTCTGAGGAGAGATGTGGTGGGGAGGGGTGAGAAGGGTGCGCGACGATGCCTATTTAAGGACCGGGAGGGAGATGCGAGATTATCGGGAGATCATCACTCGTTTGCGGGCATCCGGAGACTCGCGAAACTTCCCGCCCTACTCATAATTCTCTCTTCATATAGCCGTAAGCCTATTACATATCCATAAAACACTGTGATATAACCGCGCTCGGATCGAATCGCTTTCTCACTGCAATCGAACCGCTCCAGAGTTCGTTTCAATTGAGCCGAGACCACCTCATTTAAGCGATCTCGGAGCGATTACTTTGACGCAGAACAGAGTGCGATTGCCCTGTTCACATATGCCAAACGAACCGCGCTAACTGGGCAAACGAGACATGTTCCGAAACAAGAGTGTAGGTGTGAAAGCACCCTAAAATGTAGATTGTGTCAAAGCAGCTTCACATAGAAGATTATAGTGAATTGAAACAGTGTTAGTCCAGTTTAGTTTAGTTCAGTTCTGTGTGGTTTAATATTCAGTGCTGAGAGTCCAAACACTGAAGAGCAAATCCATCGATGCAAGCCAGTGGCGACAGTGGTGAGGAAAAAACCTCACAAATTGACGCAACTGAAGAAAAAATCCTCCAAAGAAACCAACCTCCGTTAGGCACGGCCATTTCTCCTATGGCCAAACGTCTTGTGCAGAACTGCAGTCTTGGCGCCGGTGGCTGGAGAACTTCAGCAAAGACTTGTCTGTCCCTGGAGTGTCACAGGAATCAGACTCGTGCTCTCCACTCCTCCAAGACCACAGGATACGGCCTGGCCCAGAATTATGGAAACCTTGGGATCATCTCGTCGCTGGTCTTGGATCACATCAGTGGCGCTGCATAGCTGCATGGAGTATCCCCAGGTGAAAATAGAGAATAAAGAGAATAATTAGCGTAGCTGCTGTTCATAGTGTTTATAAACGAGAGGTGTGGAGCACATTCATGTATCATACCGCTATGTAATGCATTGAGTTTATGCTTTACTAAAAAGTAAAGCCACAGCCATAGCCACTGTTGGAAGTGGTGTTAGTGAGGCCAGCAGGGGGCGCTCAACCTGAGGTCTATGTGAGTCCTAATGCCCCAGTAAAAGTGAAGGGGACACTACACTGTCAGTGGGCGCCGTCTTTCGGATGAGACGTTAAACCGAGGTCCTGACTCTCTGTGGTCATTAAAAATCCCATGGCACTTCTCGTGAAAGAGCAGGGGTGTAACCCCGGTGTCCTGGCCAAAGTCCCTCTATCGGCCCATTCGATCATGGCCTCCCAATCATCCCCTTCCACCGAATTGGCTCTATCACTGTCTCTCCACTTCACCAATAGCTGGTGTGTGGTGAGCGCACTGGCGCCGTTGTCCTGTGGCTGCCGTCGCATCATCCAAGTGGATGCTGCACACTGGTGGTGGTGTGGAGAGACCCCCCTCATGATTGTGAAGCGCTTTGGGTGTATGGCCATACACAATAAATGCGCTATATAAATACACACTAATTAAATTAATAATAATAATTAAAAAGATAGGTCTTTAGGCAAGGCAAGGGAAGTTTATTTATATAGCACATTTCATACACAATGGCAATTCAAAGTGCTTTACATAAACAAGTGCTTTACATTAATCTAGTCTTGAACTGCGAGAGTGTGTCTGAGGCTCGGACATTATCAGGAAGGCTGTTCCACAGTTTAGGAGCCATAAATGAAAAGGCTCGACCTCCTTTATTGGACTTTGCTATTCTAGGTACCACCAGAAGCCCTCAGTTTTGAGATCTTAAAGAGCGGGGTGAATTGTAGTATCAGTGACTGACATTTCATTGGAGGGCCGCTTTATAATTCAGTCACAACAAAAAAGTGGAAACCTGATGTAATGCACTAACATAAACATAAACGGCTCCCCATTAGAATTCAAATCAATTCAGCTTTATTTGTATAGCGCTTTTACAATGTAGATTGTGTCAAAGCAGCTTCACATAAATGATTATAGTAACTGGATCAGGGTAATTCAGTTCTTAGTGTTTAAGTTCAGTTCAGTTTAGTTCAGTTCAGTGTGGTTTAAAATCATTATTGAGAGTCCAAACACTGAAGAGCAAATCTATCGTTGTGTAGCTCTACCGATCCTGAACGATGTAAGCCAGTGGCGACAGCGGAGAGGGAAAAAAAACTTCACCTGATAGGAGAGTGAAGAAAAAAAACCTGGAGAGAAACCAGACTAAGTTGGGCACGACCATTTTAATTTCTCCGCTGGCCAAAAGTCTTGTGCAGAGCTGCAGTCTCAGCGGTGGAGGCTGGAAGCTGGCCTCAGCCAGGGCCGGAGCAAGCTGAACTGTCGCTCTAGGCAGAGGACAATCATGCCACCCTCAACCCCAATGTTAAAACGAAAGTGACCGGTTATGAAAATGAAGTGAGGTGTCGCGGACCTCTTTTCCAGCGTACTATCCGCGGATATAACTGAGGACGCGCGGTTGCTGAGGGCGGGAGGGAGGTGTCGCGTACACTGCGCTCTCTATTCTGCCGCCCTATGTGCGGATATGACTGAGGAAGCGCGGGTGTCGCGGACCTCAATTCTGCCGCCCTATGCGCGGATGTAACTGAGGAAACGCAGGTGCTGATGGAGGTGTCGCTGACGCCGCCCTCTCTATTCTGTCGTCTATGCGCGAATATATTTGAGGACGCGGGTGGTGAGGGAGGTGTCGCGGACATAACTGAGGCTGGTGGTAAGGGAGGTGTCACGGATGCCGCCCTCTCTATACTGCCGCCCTAGGTCGCCTCTATGGATGCGCCGGCCCTGGCCTCAGCGAAGACTCGTCTGTCCCTGGAGCGTCACTGGAATCAGTCTCATGCTCTCTACTCCCCCATGACCACCAGCGCAGTAGCAGCTCAGGATACGGCCTAGTCCTGGATATGGAAACCTTGGGATCATCTTGTCGCTTGTCTTGGATCCAATCAGTGACTCCGCATAATCAGAGGACCTCGGGATGAGTATCCCCAGGTGGAAATGGAAAAAATCAACATGTAAATCAGCCAGCAGAGTATCAGTAACGGACTTTTATTGGTCATTTTTGTAAATTGCATGACTTACATACCTGTTAAGTTTCATGCCAGTAACCTGGTTTGCTCTGTAAAGCAGTGACGTATTGCGTGTGTATTACACACTGTATTAGTATTACACTGGCAGACATGTGTACTAAAAGAATGTTTTTCCCTTGCTCTTGAACCACATCTGAGAGATTAAAACGGCTTTAACACACACCTTTTAAAGTTGTGTCACAAAAACACTTCGTAATCCACTCAACCCACTATTGAAACCCATTTTCAGAGCGCAGATTACCGGTTGTAAACGCTGTAAATGGAAGTTCTAAACATCCTCCGGAAGACGCTGGTTGCTAAGGCACCCTCCATGCAGAAGCCAAGAAAAAGATTTATACAGTGTCATAAAAAATGCTGCTATATCGATGTGCGTATTGCACTTCCAGCCAGCCGTGTATCCGATCTAGACTTTACCTCAACCCTCCCCATCATTCTCACTCTCTTCTCATGTGGGATGATGGGCCAAATTACGGTTAGCGTGGACCATCTTTGGTCAGACTCTGGTCTATGTAAACTCCTGTCGCGGTTCATTTGTGCGTCATCTAAAACTCCACATCTATAATCCTCTTAGTCTATGCTGACATTATCTTCAGCAGCTCAAACACTAATGGCTAATGGACAGACGGCTGCTTCTCACTCAGGGCTGCTGTTTATGCTAATGAGGGAGAGATGGGCACTAGTGGGCGGGGCTTTCCCCCTCTAATGACTCATACAAATGGAGAATGTCAATCAAAGTGTTTTGGCAGTCTGTTTACATCAAGTCTGACTATAGAAAATATAATTAATTCATGTTTACCATGAGAGACTGGAGATATTCACACACTGCTGACACACAACTGTGTTTAAACCCCTTATAAAAGGGATTTTTGCATAATAATGATGATGATCATGACGATGAAAAGCCTTTATTTGTCACATACACTTTTACATGTAGTGAAATCGGACCCCTCCGACCATAGAATAGGTCCCCTTTTGTTTCTAGTAGCACTAACAGTGAAACTTGTTAGCCTGCTTTGGATCAGGTTAGCTGCAAAACAATTCTGTAGTCAATGAATTTGGCTTTATTTAGCCTGCTTTTGATGCAACTGACCCAGGACTAATTTTAGTCAGGATAGTGTGAAAATCCCAGCTTTACTCCCTCATCTTGTTTTTGTGCAATACTCCACAGAAATGGAGCTGAAGGATCAGATCCAGCAGACCAGATGAATGAACTGAAGCAGAAGCTGAAGTCAGAGCTCAGAGCAGTGTTGGTGGAGCAACACGATCAGCTCAAGAAGAAGAAAGAACAACACAACACCGAGGTACAATAATCTACAAATACAGTGGTTCCTGGTTATTCGTGGGAGTTACATTATAAAAATAGCCCGCAGTTGGTGAAAACTGTGAAGTGGTCAGCTTTATTTTTTACAATTATTCTAGGTGTTTTAAGGCTGTAAACAGTGTTGGCGAGCTACTGGAAAAATGTAGTGAACTAAGCTATTAGCTACTCTACTTAAAATGTAGCTTAACTATACTTCCAACCCATTCACACGGGGCATTAGCATCAACGCTTCCCATTCACTTTGAATGGGTGACGTCAGGTGTTGCCGAACTGCATTGTGGATCCGTCTGTGCCGTTTCAGACGCGTTGCTCGCTGCAGAAGTTGGGACTAGCTCAACTTTTCAAGCGCCGACGGAAGCGTCAGCCAATCAGATCGCTGTATGCAAATCCACCAGCTAGACAGTGGCCTATTGCTGACTGAATTTCATTGGCTGACGCTACTATGACGATCGCCTTAACCCCAACTTCAGACGCGACTTCAGTCCAGCGCTGAAGCCTCGTGTGAATGGGGCATAAGGCTGCGTCCAAAACCGCCTACTACTCAGTAGGTACTGCATTTGAATTTAAACGTACTACTCGGCCGTTAGAAAAGTACGCTCTATACAGTATGAATGTGAAAAGTATGAATGGAATTCAGACGTACTGCATCCGCCATTTTGTCAAGGTCAAGTGACCTACCTGCATCAGTTGCGTCGCTTCACTCCCATTCATAAATATTCTTGCGGGCATAATTATTATTATTATTATTATTATTATTGTATTTCAGCCACATTGTACATTATATTAGGCCTGCAGTAATTATTTGAATTAAATTATTTATAATTTTTATTTATTTATTTCCACCATCATGTGCATTATATTCAGCCTACGATTATTATTTTATTATTATTATATTATTATTATTACTATTATTATTATTTTTAATGATTATTTTATTATTATTATTATTATTATTATTAATTATTTTTATTGTATTTCAGCCATACTGTACATTATATTAGGCCTGCTGTTATTATTTTTATTAATATTATTCATAATTTTTTAAATTTATTTAGCTATACTGTGCATTACATTTAGCCCATGATTTTTATTATATTATTATTATTAATTAATGATTTTTTTTTAAATCAGCCCTACTTTGCATTCCATTCAGCTACTGCTATTATTTTAAATATTATTCAATTATGTTACACACACACACACACACACACACGCACACACACACGCACACACACACTCGTGTCCCGCTGGCTGTTGTCCAAGACTCTCTCCAGGTATTGATTGACCCATAGTGAGTTGATCTGCATGAATCGAGGTCAATCATGTCCTTTAAACCTGACCGACCCGCGACACATCTTACACTCATATCGACCGCACTCACTGTGCTCAGCTCAGAGATAACAACACACACACACACACACACACACACACACACACACACACACACACACACCTACTGCTCATATCCTCTCACTCAGCACTAGTATGATTACAGTCACCATGCAGATATTTTTCTTTCACAGAACAGCAGGTTTGATTTTGTTGGACAGTAAGCTTGCTTTGTTTACAGTTTTACAGTAATTTAACAGACTAATTGCATTTACTGTACCTGCATACCTCGCTAGTTTCAAGGCAAACCAGGGTACATTTTCAGATGGTTTGATTATTGTGATTTTGAAAACTCACGGTAAATCCTTTAAGACAAAGATTGTCTAATCGGGAAAGGCTGCAATGTTTAAGAGCCCCTATCATGCATTAAAAATCATTATTTGGGTTGCACACATATTCTGAATGCCTTCGGTAGAATTCAAATGAGCCATTTTAATCTAGATTAATTCCAAGATTACAGTGAGATTAATCTAGATTAAAAAATGTATCTATGCCCACCTATAGACTGATTTCACGCGGCCGCCATTTTTAACAGCAAAATCGAGGCTGCGGTGAGAAGAAGAGTCACAGAGGAATGTTGTGTACCTGGCTGTATATCTCATCAGCGAAGAGAAAGTGACACAAATTTATACTTTCACCACCTTCCGAGTGACTCGAAGGTCCGTTCCGAATGAATAGTGAAAATAAAGAGTGATATCAGAGCTCATTTCCAGCTAAGCTAAGGGAAATGGCACTAGCTAGCTAACATTTTCTTTCCCAAACTAACATTTTAGATGCCATTTATCAAACTCAAGTTAATGAACTGATTCTTTCGATATATTAAGGCCCGTGCACACCGAGACGTTTTTTTGCTCGCATTTTCCGCCTCGTAACTAAATAAAGGGCGTCAAAGTGATTGTGCACACCAACTCGCAAAACGCCAGGCGCAAAAGTGTCATTTTTAAAAAACGCCTCATGCTCGTTTTTTTCGCGCGGCGGCAAAACCTTTTCCACCAATCAGATCGGCACTTTTGTTCACGTGCACGAAGCTACTGAAGTTACAGTGAACAGCCCTTGGAGGCGCTCAAGCGCAAAACTGTCAATGCGAGCGCACATTGAAGAAGATGCCCAGAGGCGATATGAACGTGCAGCTGCTCATTGCTCTGTGAACACTAATCATTTCTTCATCGCTAGAGCTGGAGCTGCTGCTTGAACCATCCATGATTGTTCGAGTCACCAGTAACTTTATAAACAAACGTGTGAACTTCCTCTCTTCCTTCTCTTCTTCAGTGTTATAAGCGGATGTCAGAAGCTTAAAGTTGTGCAGCGCCATCTAACGTCAAAAGAGGGATTTAGCATACTCTTCTGCTTGACGCCAGGGAAAAGCGCTTGGGTTTGAACACTGAAAAACATCTCGTAAAACGCTGACGATAAACGCAAACTAAAAACGTCCCGGTGTGTAGGAGCCTTTAGACTTGTCACGATACAAAATTTCGGTACTGAAATGCTTAAAAAAAATAAAACGTTCATTTCCCGTTAACATTTAAGCACTGTTGATGGCATTCTTAACCAGTGCTGATTTGCCATGGTGTTCACGTGCTCAACAGAAATGACTGTGATTGGCTGAGTAGGTCATCAGTTCACCCTCCGCTGTTTACCGAGCACAAACACAGACGAGTGATCTGCTGATGAATCAACTGATCTTCACAGCTTTAAAACGCTGCGATGTCCGTCTATCTGTGTTTGCAATCAGTAAAGAGCGGTGAACTGATGACCTTCACAGCCAATCACAGTCATTTCTGTTGAGCACTGGTGAATACCATGGTAAATCAGAGCTGTTTATGAACGTGATTGAATGTTAGCGGGAAATGGACGTTTTTAAAAGTTCAGTACCTGGATAACACTATTACAGATAACTCGAGGGTGTGCTGCAGAGGACTGCAGTGTTCTATCACTCACCGGGCTACATAGGCTGAAGCGTCTCCACTGCTGGCATGAACTGAAACCTTGGAGGACACTTGAGCGTATCACTCTTAAAGAGATTGAGATGTTGTTTGATGCCTAAATTGCTTTTAATTGTTTAAATGAAACTTACTGGATGATATTAAAGTGATGTTTACACCATTTCTGCATTTTGAAATCTCAGCAGCAGCTGGAGGTTTATAGTCCACAGCAGGTTACAGTGTTGGTCCTATACTTCTGTGTTTCTTCCCACCGCAGCCTCGCTTTCGTGTTTTAAAATGGCAGCCGTCCCTGCTGAAAAATCCAGATTAAAGGGCCATGACACCCCCCACTTTCGGTTAAAGTCTACTTCAGAATTTTTTCAAAAGATACATGATTAATGGGCGGAGCTCCGCGAGCATCGGGCAGGAGTGGGCGTGGCCAGCAGGGGAGAACGTGAGCGAACGAAGCTAGCTCACAAACTGAGACAAACCGTGAGGAGACGCATGAGTTTATAGTTTACAAAGTTAAAATGCAAAGAAATGAACAGTGATTTAAGGCCCTGCTACATTTGTTATTCGTAATTTCATATACAGACCACCACAATTTATATAATTATAAAGATAAGTGTGTTCATGTAAACACTATAAATGGGGACTTCTCCCTCAATCCCCGTATCCAGCAGACTCAGTGCAGCAGGTCTCCTGACCTGTCTATTTTAACCATTAACCCTGCTGGTAATCTGGAGGATTTAGGCAAACACAGCAGCACGGCGATGTGTCTGAATGTGAACGAACTCCTGATAAAAGACAGCGTCCGCCATTCTCAAATTCTCGTGCTGCTCTCCCGACAAAAATGCTAGCAGCACACACACAGCTTTGCTGTATGATCGGCACTGACAAGATTGCGGGGGAAAACATGCAACAAACCCCGTGGATGATGGAAACAAACGCATATGAGCCTTCATGACCGGCTAAATACTGCCGTGGGTCCGTGACGTATCTCTCAGCTCGGGCTTGACTCTGGCAGGTCTGGCAGGTCTCATGAATAATTAAGCAGCCGGCTCTTCTCATAGGATAAGAAAACTCCACTATGAATAATAATGAGAAACTGACGCCTCATCATTGCACTTGCAGTTCTGCGCTACGTCGCCGATTTTGATCCCGCCCCAAAAATCATTTTAAACCCGGAAGCTGAAATTAGCTGACAAAAGCTCAAAATTATCCAGTTTTCCCCACAATTAAAGCTGACAGGTGCTAACATTGTCTTAACTGATGCTCAACACACACACATCTGTTAATATAAACAAAAAAGTTCTCCAGGGTGTCCTGAACCTTTAAACCAGCCTAGGCTGGTTGGCTGGTTTTAGCTGGTTGACCAGCCTGGTTTTGGAGGGGTTTTGGCCATTTCCAGGCTGGTTTCCAGCCATTTCCAGCCTGGTTTTAGCTGGTCTGGCTGAAAAATGACCAGCTATATCCAGCTAAAACCAGCTTGATCAGCCTGGTTTAAG